GTAGGTACAATCGGGATCTATAATTCTCGTCGACTCTTATGGGTATGGGTGATACACACTAAGCATTACGCATATACAGTGTACCATGCGTTTCCGGAATACGTACCTCTCCAAACCGAGAATGAACTTTAATTAACTTCTACGGCATACTGAAGAATATGCCATCAGCAATATGTATGCCATTTTATTACTGATACAAGTTACCGCCCTCTATGGTAACCTTAGCTAATCATATTGCAATGAAAGTGTAACAATAACGGGAATAATTTGTTCGTGTGATGAAGATAAAATTACAGTCATGTTTTCAAATCGTCTTTGTAAATATTGTAAATTGTAATACAGTCACCAGAAATGTGTGACTACGTAATATTACAAGTTTTTCAGCAATGACATTTTGCACATTAGGTCTGTCGAACTAGTCAAATGTTCTCTGTTGTACAAAAATCATAGCTCAGTTTGAAGTGTTTATCTTGCAATGTATACTTATTAGCTTAGGTTTTTTTTTACTGTAGTGATACATTATCCGATAAATCACATCACATCTGTGCACCGTGGTTTTACTGAAATCATATCCGGTGTACCAACCGGTTATGTCACAGAATGAAAACTGTAAAACTATGACTCGCCACATGGTATATAGAAGCTTATAAACTTTGCAGACATTCTGAAACTTTTCCATTAGATTATTTCTTCCAATGATAGCAAACTACAATGTACTGTGAGGGGCATATTGATAGTAAAAGATTGACAAACGTCAATATTGGGTAAACAAACACTAATGTAAGTCACTCATAACATGTTTGGGCTTTGAGAGTTTTTCGAAATCAAAACTAAGAGCTGATGTTGTTCAATTTAAAAAAAGTAATACCTTAGCATTTTACATATCATAAAAGACACCATAGCTAACAATATAAACTCGTGTCATAGGATTAGACGTAGACTGAAATGCCTGGACTTTTTCGCTTATGATCACCTAGATGTTACGTCACACAGTTTTTTTATTCCACTTGTGTGCATGATACAATTTCTTCAAACAAATTTACAAAGCTTGCATGCACAACATGCGCGGTTTTGTATGCGGAGAATACATAAAAAAAACACATTTTGAAATAAGTGATGTACAGTACCTTGTAAATAAAAGCATCCAGTATAAACCGAACTCGGAGACAGCAAGGTTGCCAACAATATTACTCACTCTTTGTCAGAAATTTGAGATTCAATCAAACCCCCAAACCACACCGAAACTTCGGCCAAATCCATATGCTATACGAACCTAACCCTAATGTGTTCTCCCAGAACTGCATGTCCTAAAATATGCACTCTGCCTTATATATAATTGAAATGGCGTTCGTAATGCGAGATTAATACCCTATCCTATTCTACACTAATACAACAAAGCAGGTAAAGCAATGTTGCAACACTGTCCCACCAATTCCGGGGCCAAGTTCCTGAGAAATCTGTGCAGTTCTGTAGTTATAATCTACTCATGATGTTCTGTTACCAATAATTTGTCAAACATATGTACATGACGCATGAGATAAAATGTTGGTAATATATTCAATAGAATAATAAAAATGGAAATAACTTAATTTTTGTAACAGCTGTTGATAACTTTGTCTGTATCTTATTCTGTACGTGCCATGCAAGTGGGGTTGAAACATCTCAACAGCAACGGTAGGTTACACTAAATTATATTTCTACACAAAATTAACCACCGGGAGTTTTCATAAATACTGACGGTATTATTGTTAGCTTTTGATATGCGTGAAATAAGGATGTTTCAAACCTAGAAAATATTACCAAATAAACAGGAAAATGTTCGGAGTACACAGTACAACATCCACGCAATAACGTAGCTTACTTATAGCAAGTCGACACTTTATGCTCAATCAATTTCTGGAATCTTAATGTTACTCGCTTATATTTACAAGGCAAGCACTATGTCTTGCCAACATATTTCAAATCAAGGACGTGTTCAAGAATATCCTCCAAGCTTATAACAAAATGCGTTTTTTCAGAATAACGCACGACACAGTGATCTCTACTCCTTTCAGTGACGTGTGATTAAGCAAAGTTATCGCTTGTGTGTTTAACTTAATCACATCCAAAACGCTAATGTTAAGGCTAACTAAACTGTACACTATGAAAATGTTACGGAAATACTTTAAATATGCTAACAGTACGATTTTCACATTAAGCAACGCGAACCGCTGTGTTAACCGTCTGTTTTTGGCCATATTTGCATAATTTATTTTTATTAATGATATACGTAATACATTTTTTTTAATTTTTATCTAATTTTGTTTTCTAAATTGTAGGGTTCTTAGTTCATATGTTCGCGACATATATTTGTGTTTGTAGCGTACAATGGTATTTTCTCTGAACAATTCTGTTTTATATAGATAGACATGATCCCTGTATAAATAACTTCCGATTTGATCATCACCATGGTAAATACCAATCTCATCTGTCTGCGGAGAGCGATAGGATTACTCATAATTTGTAGCATACCAATCACTTTGTATTATGCGATTGAGCTACATAGAATACACAGTGAAGGTACGTACAATTTGTTTTATAGTGGAAATGCGAAAAGCCGACACCGCGTTTAAAAATAAATGTCTTTGATAGAAGCACTCCTTCTTGATATGAATCAAATATAGGTAGATCCGGGCGCCTGTGCATTAGATATTTTTACGGGACGAATACTGTTATGTTTTACTCAATTTAATATCAAATCAAATGAATAAATCATTTTCAAAACACTTTAACTATATTGCCTCCTTAATTGTTAATCTCGACATCGTATGTTTACTCTGAAACATCTGTCACAGTACAGCCTAAATCACTATTTGCTCATGTTTATATTATTCGTATTACATTATCGTTGTTTCTACCAATGGTTACGTTATTATGCGCCGGTTTTATACTCATTCCCAATGTCTATGCCATTAGTCAGCAGTTAAGGGCATTATTTTGTAATCCCATGGTGCAGGAAAAGAAAGGATTCTTTCTGCATGCAAGTGTAATAATTCGTATATGTCTAACAAACTAACCTCATAATAACAACTATATTACAACAGACTGAATTTAATATCATGCGCATGTAAATTTTGTTTGATACAAACTCTTTCTAGCTATATTGATTTCTGTTTATTGCAGGCATTAAACAAACAAACAAGCATTCTCAGTGGAATGAAACATCTTTGCCTAGGAACAAGACATTAACGGTATGATGTAAGGGGTCAACATTGGAATCATGGGGGGGGGGTGGTTAGAAGAGTATGACCAGTGAAATATGTTAATTTAATTGTGCCTTGTATGTACATTTTTTTTTTCTTGAATGTTACATCATCCGAATCGCACGGTTTCGCGTGCTCAATATGAACCTACTCCAAACGAACCCACGCGTGATTCTAGCCAGAGGTCGCGTATTTTACCTCGACCAAATGCCTAGATCTGAATGGAGGTGACTTTAAAACATGCAATCAATTGTTGACTAACGTGTGACAAAAGGTCATGAACAAAATGTGGCATTGTGCTGCCGATCACAAAGAAAAGCCGATCATTTTTTTTTCGGCCTTTCCACAGTTCCCACTTGCCACGATTGTGGCCTAGTATTAAACAACCAGAATAAATTCAGAATCGATAGGATATCAGTACATTATTTTAGAATCATTTCTGTTTGCTTTTGAGTGATAGTTGGTCCAGCATTATCATATAGCATTGTAAACAGTAAGTCCAGAGCACGGGTCACAGTGTACCCAAGACCACTCATCTCAATGTTTGAAAACCCAAATAGTTGTATAGACTGTTAGGCCGTCGCTGATTGGCTCCAGAGTTGGATGTCGATTTCGGTTTCAAAAAACCCGGGAAAGTGCTCTAATAATACATGAATAAAGTGAAAATAACAAATGACATCATTCTAAAATAACGTGATATTACAAAAAAAATTTCGGCATAATTTAATGTTGCCTAAAAGGAACATTTGGCTGTGGAAATTTCCTGATTTGCAGGAATATTTGGTCATAAATAAACTTTTTCAAAGGCAAATTATTTTAAACCTTTCAAATAATCCGCCGAACTGAAACAAATTTCCCGTCCGCCCATCTCCCGGCATCACAGTAAATTGTGTACATTCGATCCCGGCGTTCAAAAATCTGTAGAAAACCTCTCATTGTAATCAAAACATCATAATAAGTTGTGTTTAAAATAAGTTTAGTTTTACAGTGCCCATCATAACTCTCGCACAGTACTTTGCACGTTAACACAGAGTAAATTTTTTTCCACAGAGGGAGAAAATCCCGGTATTGGATGAGCTGCTAATATATTGACCAATCACACGAGAGCTCATAAACTCTAACAAATTATTTGTTGTAGTACTTAACAAGGGAGCGTTTATAAGCCTAAAGTAGGATTTAAATTGTGTTATATAGGTCAGTTGTGACCCACGTCATGAGGCAGACACCGTGGCACCCGAGAGAAGCGTAGGCACAACTGATGCCTGACCCAAGACGAGTCAGGTTTCGTGACTCGTTCAGAGCCATGAATGTGTATATTTATTGTCCAAATAGTGTCAAGCTAACCACATTACAACATATTAACACGCAGACGAAAAAGGTACAAAGATGAAAACTGTAAACATATGGTAAATGCAAACATGTCGCATGTGTCATGATGATATTTAATCAACAAACCATGTTAATTATTAACTTGTGGCCATTTTGGAGATGAATAAAGTAGTTTTGAGTAGTAGTAGTAGAGACAGTGTGTTTGTCAGTTACTTGTTTGATCACCATAAAGAAGTGAAGTAACACAAGGTTTAGCTGAAGAGAACGAACTCCTGTGAAAATCTTTTAACTAGTGAGATTTCAAGAGCCAACAGACTGGGTGAACCCCATGTTTGTTGTAGAGAAACCAAAAACTAGTAAACTACGCATATGTCTAAGCCCAAGAAACTTAAATAAGACAATCAGACGAGAGTATACTCATGGTTGACCATGGATGTATACTGGCAAATACCAGATGATGAGTCCAGTCAACTACTCACTGTGTTTAATACACCCCTTGGTAGATATTGCTATTTGCGAATGCCTTTTGGAATTAATTCAGCACAAGAGGTATTTCAGAAGAGAATATCCCAACACTTTGAGAATCTTCTTAGTGTTGAAACAGACATAGATGACATTTTGGTATGGGGTACAACAACCGCCAATCATGATGAAAGGTTGAAGGCTACACTCAAACAATGTGAGGAAAGAAATCTCTGTTTCTGTCACAAAAATTGGGTACATAGGAAATATTCTCATCCCAGAAGAAGTACAACCAGATCCAGAAGGATTCGAGCTATAACTGAGATACCGCCAGCAACAAACAAGCAAGGAATAATGCGATTACTGGGTACAGTAAATTATCTAGGTAAATTTGTGCCTTACTTTGCAACTATAACAAAGCCAATTAGAAGCATACTGAAAAAAGGTTCCACTGGTCTTTCATTTGTATAAGCCATTGATGTTTTATTCTATTTTTCTAGATGTCTCGGAATAACAACCAAAATAATGTTGGTAACAAACTTAAACACTTATCTGCCAGGTCAAAAGAACATTTTATCAATAGTAATATACCTGCTCTGTTAGTCGTTAACAACGCTGTACCCAAAATACCTGACATTATACCGCATTGTCTCTACTAGAAACGTGTATCTTATAGAGATAAAACGGTATGCGGCATATTATTTTCAGTTATTAATAAATAAACTGACTGTCTATGTACTATACCTATGTATTTATGTATATACTGATATTTTATATTAAATATATGATACATGTCACTTTACTGTTTAATATTTATTTTGGCTATTGTCACTGCAAGGAAAATGTCTTTTTTATCAAGCAATGTCTCTAATATGTCAACGAGTTCTCTCATTGGTGGGGATGGATGTCTTGGTATAGCTGCGACAAAAATGAGACAGTTGAAGTAAAACTAATTTTGCAAACAAACCAAGCAAAATATAAATACGAACACTAGAGAGCAATATGAACACATCAAAAACACAATCTTGGGCAAGAGGCCCGACATATATGCAGCTGTGCATAGATTCACGTAATGTGTTATTTTATTTTCCACACTGACTCACTTTATATTGTTTTGCATTCGTGTGACATAAAGTAGGTTGTTACTGAAGTAAGTTTTATGGTTAGAACACTCAACATTTCAATATTACAATTGAATTGAATTACCACAACAATTGTTTCGGTGAATTTATTGATCTTATCATATATTTAATATCAGGCTTGTTAAATTGCAGGATGGAAGATTAAGTGACAACTGGAGCACGATAATACCTACCTATTTAATGACGGAACCCATAAATACCATGCAGTGTAAACCAACATCGCGGTTTGTGTTTATTAAGACCATGAAAACAGGTGGAAGTACAACATCAAATATTCTAATGCGATATGGCATATCAAACAATCTTCACACATTTTCATATAGCACGAAGAATCTTAATTGTTTCAATTCTACTGTCTTTGACTTTATGGCTATACACATGCGTTATAACAGGACCTGGATGAACAATTCTGTACCGGATGCGAAATATTTAACAATTCTCAGATCACCATTTGGCCAATTACCATCGGCATTTTACTTTTTCAAGTTTGCAAGACCCTTGCTAAATTCTACTGACCCATTTCGTCAATATATTGAACATCTCGATAGTTACCATAACTTTACAGAAGTACATCACCAGCACCGAAATGGACAAATGTGGTTCTTAAATCCGGAATTTGAAGACGAAGACCAAGATAATGTAACAATGATAAAACGTGCAATCAGACGAATTGACAGAGAGATGGATTTTGTGATAATTTTGGACCATTATGACGAGTCATTGGTGGTATTAAAACAAATAATGTGTTGGGAAGACGAGGATATAATTTACCACATAACTAAAAAAAGTAAACAAAAAAGAAACCCAATGACTACATCTATGAAAACAAATATCAGGAAATGGAGTTTAGCAGACACGCTTTTGTTTGATCATTTTAATCTTTCATTGTGGGAGAAAGTGGCTAATTATGATGGCGATTTCAATGCCGATCTCGAAAGATTCCGTTCCAAAAATCTAAAAGCGTCATTAGAATGTTCACATAAAAAGATTTATAGTGCTGGTACATATTGTTGGAAACTTATTAATGATACGCCACGATTACGATTGTTTGCCCTTAATCAGCAAAGATGGGAATCCAATGAAAACAAATGTGTCTGATTTTGCACAGTTATTCAACACATTATTTAAACACGTGTTATATATTATAAAATATATTATTCGTTGTGTAGTGTTATTTTTTGTTAACATTTGACTTACCCACATTGCTGATGTTAAATTGTGTTTTTTAACATTCTCACATTTTAGATGTTAATTTGTAATAGTGGTTGCAAATAAAATAATAAATAATGTTTCTATCTGAACAAATTAACTTGTTGGAATAAACATGTTTGATATGGTATTACTAGCAAGCTGTAGTATTGTGTGGTGGAGGTGATAGAAGGGTTGTTGATGTAACAACGCATACTTCCTGTCAATAAAGGATTGAAAACATTTCATACATCTTTTAATATCATTTGCATGTCTTTTGGCCATAAATGTCACGTGTTGGATTTTTGCAACGAAACATTCTGATTATATATTAAACTCGTTTCGGTATCCCACATGTATTTTGCATAAAACAATAGCATATTCTAAATCAATATATACTTATTTATCAGACTGTGATATCACAAAGGAATTGTAATGTAATGTACAATGTGCATTTTGTAATTGAATCCTAATTTGTTATCCAAGTATATGGAAGCATTGTGGTAAATCTTGTATTGTTCATATGCAATTTAATCTCGCTATTTCGACTATAACATAATCTGTTATAAAACCATAATCATATATGTGTATTGGGATCTGAAACAAATGTTTTAAATAGCATTATTAATTAAACCATGGGTGGTAAGTAATTATAGTGAGTTGAAGTAGCAGTGATTTCGAATACATACCAAGTCGAATAGAGGTTTGGTAGAAATAAACGTGTAAAGCTAGTGAATCTGCAATACTTTATTAATTCCAATGTTACAAGTTACCTGTTTATATTAAGTAGATAACTCATACCATAACCGGATGCAACCAATGCTAACCCAAACGTGAACAATAAAATAACAACTGTGACTTATCCCCAACCAAATGTAGCCAACTGTTCATTAAAATGCTTCACACTTCACCAAATGTGGCCATTTTTGGACTACATGTGACAATTATGTAACCAAACATACTGTCCAAATTTGATCAATATTTCCCAAGCTATGTCATTGAATCACGTGTGTTATGCAACACTACGTAGAATATGTCAGTAATTGAATTATACATCGTTATTCGATGCATAAATGTATATCAACAATTTAGTATATGATTACAAAAATGAAATAACTTAGCTACTTTGTTATGTTGTAGAGAATGCCTAACAAAGAACTAGTTGCAATATATAATCTGATTTTATACGGTGAAATCCAGAATTACAATTTTATTGTAACATATTTAACAATTGTAAGGAAGCGCGCCACCACTTTTAAATATGAATCAGAATATATCCGACTGTAGGAGGCAGTGTTCAGACGGCACAAGTCTGAGAAACACTTTTGTTTACAGGAAGAGTTGCAAAAAATAAAATAAAATATTCCAAAATAAAAAAAAAAAGATGAGAGACTGGAGGGACATATTGTCACATATTGTCAGCGTATGGTGAATTCTTGTGCTGATACTTGTAAATGCTTTTCACCAATTAAATAATTCTGAAGCATCCAATTCAGCACAGTGAAATCCGGAGGACGGGAAGATTTTGTTATTCATACGCAGCCATCTCTATCTACCTCTCTACCGGGTTCAATGTCTTGTATATGGTTTTGAATGTGTGTGAGTATTGTTGTCTACAAATGTGTCTTTTTATAATTCTTTTGTATAATCATAACCGTCATGTTAATCTCCATATCGTACTCGAAATTTAAGTTATTATCTGCTTAGGACACAGGAATTGAATGGGGATTTATTGGTGATTAAACCTTTCATTTTGAGTTGATTCTATTTGTAATCCTTGGTGATAAGAACTCCCCTGAAAGTAACTGTGTATTGGTTTGAACATAGATCTCATATTGTATAAGCGATATTTGCTGGATCCCACCTGTATGAGAGCGGTATATCTTCTTCTCTTATTTGAGAAATACATTGGAGAAGATTGACCACAGTCAATCACCCTCATCGAGAGTAAAATTAAATCAGAACATAGATTTATGTGATTTATAAATTATTATAGGACATGACATGACACTGTGGTCGGAAAACCCAACAAATTAAATCAAGGCTTGTGAAATTGTTGCTATTATATATGTGAATATGCATATGTCGGCCCATCAAGGTTGCCCACAGTATTTCGCAACCGTTGTTTGCCAACTTTGGCATCATCATCATTCATTTCTCTATACAAGATGTTATTAATGCCAATAATAGATGAATCAATACAATCTATCTGGAAAGCTTGTCATAGTAAATACATGAATCACTGCCAAATCATCATTTTTGTAAAGTAAAAGAAGGTATTATTTCCAGTGTTTTAACAAAACACTCATAATAATGATTTACAATCAAACACTAAACAAGTAACCAGGTGTAACTCCTCGGAATTTTGTTTTGTATATTCTTTAACTGAGTTCATAATTATTTTGAAATTGTTACTCCAATGAATATAGAAAGGTTCCTTGAACTCGGGTCTTTATGGTATTATCTTTCGAGTATCACGTGGAATAATGTTCAGATCCACATAAATAAAATGCCCAACAGGGCATAATTGAATAAATGGGATGAACAATCACAGTCAGTTGTATTGACACTATTTGCGACAGGCCATGAATATTTAAATTAAAACAACGCAATCGTTGAGCAATATGTTTGACGTTAGTATAAATATAATTTACACACGTTATAACGTTATAAATAATCACACTTTATTTTATTTACCAAGCATTCTATACTATTAAAGATGTTAATCATTTTATTGTCTATAAACAATATATAATATTTAAACAATTACAATTTTGATTTTGTATTCTATGAACATAATCATTAGTAAATAAATGATATAACATACACTGTATACAGGATAAACAAATGTTATAATAAATTAATTATAAATGTATTATCAGGAATGTATTACATTGTAAATTTTATAACGATGTATATAAGAATGCAAATCTAATGAGTTCTAATTTAGGCTCTTGAAATCTAACACTCATTACAACACTTCAAATAAGTTTAAAATACACAACTATTACAATACTATTCACACTTTCTTCTATGCTATCGATAAAGAGCCATTGCTCGAAACGTCTAGCTATTTGTAATAGTTATTTAGGACTACGATTACCAAATATTATCTTCTATATATCATATTTATCAGTCCGAGCAGCGTTTATTTATTTATAAACTACTTTTAAAATACTACACTGATTTGTTGGCATAGTATGATTACACAACAATATTTTTGCAGTTTACCTGACAGGTATTTTAATTAGTAAATTAAGAAACCAAGATGACCTCCCTTGTCCACAAAACTATATATTTTCGGAAAGCTTATTGTATGAATTTTAAAATTTAGTTATTATTATTTTTGTTATATTATTTTTTATTTTTTATGGACACTGTAGTTCGAAATGTGCACAAAAAAGTGCTTTTTTGGTCAAAAGTGAGTAAAAATAATTAGCTTTTAAACCATGCTTCTGTTTCCTGTCAAAATTGGTTTATGGGTTCAACTTTTTACTATGAAGAAAGTGCCGTCTTGAAAACTGTCTACCAGTTGTCAATTTTGCAGGCCAGCAGCACAAATTTCACTACTTCAAGTTTATGCATAAATTAACACCTAGGCTAGTTGTCTGAACGATTGCTGTAACACTATTCAACTAAAAGCAATGCCCCGACGGCGTTTTGAAGATAAACACATTATCAATCATTTGTGAAAATTTCAAAACAAAAGGTCAAAGCGTCTAGGAGCTATTTTTTTTTAAATTCTGGGATGTGCACTAAAAACAAGCTGAGATAATTGCTAATTTGCTTAACAATTCACTCAGTAAGAAATTTGCTAATCCTCATAATTAAAATGGATGTAACAGTTCCAAATTTAAATGTATTATCGTTTTGTTAAAAGTTAAATATATTGCATAATATGGAAATCCCGTCAATTTTGTACCATGTTTCTTTTTTTTATTATTTATGCACAGCCTTGCTAAATCTTGCTAAGCATTCCAAAGAGAGAATGTTTGCATCTGTTATCTATATTTTAAAATCGTATTTTGAGTGTGTTCCACTATTCACAATTCTACAAAATGTTAAGTCTATAGCCAAGACTGTATCTATAACTCCTACACTACAATGAATTTGTTCTGTATGGCTAGATGTACACATTTAAAGAACACATTCGTGATACGTACGACAGTACACTGAATATAGACTTTAAGCAGTATGCGGATCAATTTTGCGTTTTCGTTGGATTATCGTCATAGAAGTCGCAAATTGCACATCGATCAATTACAAATATCACGTGTTACATTTATTGTTTGTGAAGTCAGGAATATTGCATCGACAAATCTATTGTATATCCATACTTTTACTTATTTTGATTTAAATCAAGTTGATAATATTGCATGGATGGCACAAATAAACAACAAGTTGATATGTCTGACTATGACTGCTGGTTAAATGTTGCTTATAGTCTAAGGACCAGAGTATGAGAAGTATACAAATCAGTGCCTCTAACTATCTATATTATTTGAGGTGGCATTTTACTTTTATGCCTAACTTTTGTATCACGCATTAATTAACTCTCGATAAAAGATCGGTGGGAGTGTATTGTTCTTCGCAGTTGGAATTTAGACAGATGGGCACACGTATACGCAACAATGTTTCAGCAAGATATTCTAATAAGACAGCCAAGCCACTTTTAATACGTACCCGAAACGCCATGTTGCTAATACTGTTAAAAAAACTTCTATTAGGTAATGACTTATTTGTTAATCAAACTTTTCCAGAAGGAATTAGTTTCCAACATTTCCATTTGCTCAGAATCCCTTGCAATTTCCCCGAATTCGCCGTTCCAGATATGGCTTTCGACGAGTTTCTTATGGTTACCAAAATCGTAATTCTATTATTGGGACCACTCGTCCAGGGAATTTCCAGTA